CAGAGGTCAGAAGTCATCTACACTTGGGGCGGCTGTGGCTCAGAGGCAGAGCGGGTCGTCCACTAATCAGAAGGTTGTTAGTTTGATTCCCGGCTCCTCCTGCTGCATGTCAAAGTGTCCTTAAGCAAGATACTGAACCCCAAACTGCTGCGTCATCAGTGTGTGAATGTGGTAGTGTACAGCGCTTTGAGTAGTCGAATGACGAGAAAGGCTCTATATAAGTACAGTCCATTTACCATTCATGTTATTTTACATTAGACGTGTAAATTCACAAGCTATTTTATAATTGTATTAACATTTCCATGTATTTAAAAAAAATACAGATAAAAACCCTGTAAACTTACACATTTTTTTACAGTGAAGAATTTAATAAGCAGGCCTATAAAATACAGAATATAACTACTCAAACAGCAACTTAACAAAGGGTTAACAGAACATTAATAGTGGTTGGCCAGACCAAATAACACAATGGATAAACAAAATGGACGCCAACTACAAATTAACCCAAATCCCCCCCATGACATATGAGCCAGTGGTTTGTCCCAATGAGGTGCTCTGGGATTTAAGACTCCTGCACCCTTGGACACACCTTTGGCTCCAGCAGGAAGGACCTGCCCCCCAACAACTAGGTAACTCAAAGACAAAGAAACAAAGGATGAATGTAAGCAGATTGCTGGTGTAAGCGTCCAGTGTTCGACTGTGTGAGATTAATGAAGTGTTGAACAGATTTCAGATCAAACACAGTGTGTAATGTAAAACCTGTAGATATAACTCACCTGTGTGAATTATACTTATTATTCTAATTCTTCTCCTGCAGTCAGACTGTAGTTTCAACTGAGCTCATCTTATTGAGGTCTTATAATTTATATTATTAAAGTTATAGTTTGTTTACTGCTTTCACTTTAGTTTTTATTATTTAAAATGTTTAGATTTAATTCTAATGAGGTTTAAGTCAGACTCAGTCTCAATGAACGGATGAACCAACGCCTCCTCTTGTGGTGTTGATGAATTTGAACAAACTGACTAAAACTTAAGACATTTTCTGTTAATTTTTATTCATTTCAATTATCTTACTTACTTACTTTATTTTAGTAACTAAAACTAGTTTCATTGAACTTAATAAGCTCATATTAAAGTTAGTATTATTCAGACATCCCATAATTCACTGCTGCCACCTGCTGGCTGAAGGGATGAAAACATCAATAAATCAATAAATCAATAAATGCACTGGAGCCTCTATTAAACTGGTTTTACTGGTGAAACATTGACCTCACTGTGACCTCGGAGCAGGTGAAGATGGTGGCTCAGGTGTCCGCTCAGGTGGTCGTGGGGCTGCTGCTTGGACTCTCGGTGGGTCCCGGCCTCTGCTCCTGCGCCAGTCCGGACTCGGAGCGTGGCAGGATGGAGCTGTGGCGTGTTCGCAGCCTCGCCACACAGCCCAGGTACGGAGAGTGCTGGACGCGAGCTCTGGAGGAGCTGGACACGCGCTGCAGGGACCTGACGTCAGAGAGCCAGAGCCGGATCGCGCTGGGATTCACTCTGTGTCACCTGAGCAGGTAAGACCTGGTCCAGTCCTTCAGACAGCAGCTCAGGAGAGAACAGTGCAGGTAATGAAGTATAACTATAAATACTCATAAATACAGAATCTCTGTCAGCTCAGGTAGGAATATCCCATCGTGCCCTGAAGGGTCAGAGGTCAGCAGGTGTACAGGTGGGATGGACGATGTGGCCTTTAACACATTTACTGAGTTCTTCACCCACACCCACTCCATCTGCCACTTCCTGCAGTCCGAGGCCTGGCAGAACCGAGCAGAGAACGCCATGCACAGGTAACGCGCAATACACAGGTAGCGCACCATGCACAGGTAGCGTGCAATGCACAGGTAGCGCACAATGTGTGTGTGTGTGTGTGTGTGTGTGTGTGTGTGTGTGTTTTACAGGTTAACTGAGAGTTCAGCAGGTGTAGCTGAGCAGCTTCAGTCCACCAGGCAGATGGCTGAGGACCTGATGGACGCCCAGAGTGCTGCCTTACAGGCACAACAGGAGATCCTGAACAATGGAGAGGAGCTAAGAGTCACCCTGAGAGACTCCACCCAGGGTAAAACATGGTCACCTTTATATTCTCTGTCCTCTAGTGGACAAACTCACTTCATTTACTGTCTGTCTACCTGTCTGTCAGGTCTGCGGTCAGTGTTCTCAGAGCTCAGCAGTGTCTCCAGGGAGCAGCAGGTGGCACTGTCTGAACTCTTCAACAGAGTTTCCTTCCTGCAGAGTTTCCTCCTGATGGAGGCGCACAGTCTGAGCTCCTGCTGCTACCACGCTGCTGCTCTTTTCACCTCCTTCTTCCTCACCTCCACGCAGCGCTCCTCCAGAGCCAGGTAACTCCTCCCCCTACCTCCTTATTCAGTTATGGGATGGATGGAATGATGGATGGAATGATTGATTGATGGAATGATTGATGGAATGATTGATTGATGGAATGATTGATGGAATGATTGATTGATGGAATGATTGATTGATGGAATGATTGATGGA